AAGGGGAATAGCTACTCTAGAATAGGGGGATTTGGGGAGTTTTCTCTAGTATAGGGTAGCAAAATTGAGCTGAACTAGCTCTGGTATAGGTTAAGGGTTCCAGGGTCCCAGCGGCACATCCCCACCCAGAAATTCCTAAAGTACCCCCCCCCCCCGGGGGGTGCCAGGCTCTCAAGGAAAACGCCTCGAAGTAATCGACTGAAATTCAGGCTAGAATCAGCCTTGCATCGTTTGTTTCTATATTTTCAATTCGTTGCTTCGTGTTATATTGAATCTTTAAAACGGGAAGCACTCGGGAATAGTTTTTTGACATTTTATCTCTGTCACCAGCAATTAGACCGTGCAAAATAAAAGAATCGATACAGAGAAAACAACGTAACAGTAAACACAAGCAATTAGTTGCAAAATAGACAATGTCATGGGTTTGGAAGCCATCTTGACGAGTTAGGCAACCGCGTGAGAAATTGCAGTGTTTGTATGAGAATCTAATGAAGGATAATTCCGTAAAACGACTCTTCTGAAAGAAATATGAATTGTAAACTAAAGCTACACGGCAAAGGATTTTACTAACAAATTTCGGGGACCTTAACTGTGCTTAAATTTCTCCAGGCGCTTGCTTTAGATTTTCCATATATTTGTCCGCAATTTTTCCAGGGAAATTTTAGTCGGCAGGAAGAAGAAATTTTTACAGAAAAATAAACTTCCGAAAGGTTATATTGGGTAGCTTTTTACTAATTAATTGGAGTTATTTCTTTTCCTTTTCCGCCAAGTAGCTCTAAGATATGAAGGATAAAGATGCGGCATTTTATCCAAGTTTCCAGGCTCTCTCTCTCTATTGCTCTTTTCCTTTCCCCTTGAGAACGAGGTTGGGCGCTTATTTAACCTAATGCGGATGGGGGGAGGGGGTGGCGGGGGACGGGGGGTGGCTTACAAGCAAGGGTGTCTCAAATCAAGTGGGACCCTTCCTAAATTTTCCTCCGCCAATTTTTTTTCTGCAAATTGGGTTGACGGTTGAGATAAACCTAACGGCGAAAAAACTTTTCAAGATAGCTATAAGAACGACGTCAAGAACGGCCGGACTTGCTGTTCGTAAAAGTAGGATTTACAATTTTATCTTGCCAGCCAAAAAATACGAAAACTAAAGGCAAAATAAACAAGGATGAATGACTGAAGCAGCTGTCTTCCAATGCTTCCCTGCTGTGTTGGGTTATTTGGGTCAAAATTGTTTATTAGTTATTTGGGGAAAATTATAGGAGTGGGAAAAGAAGAAGCTTTTCTTTTAATTTTATGTCCTTTCTGTTTACGGAATCGAAGTGACGGGGTTAAAGCAATTAATTACTTGATAGGCGTAAAATATTTGCAAGTTTGACCAAGGGTGCACACCTGTCTGGTGAAATAGAAAATGGGCGCTGACTTAATTGGTACCGTTCATCACCCATTCTATTTTAAAAGATGGACAAGTATAACTTCTACTAAATGAAAAGCCCTATTAGAAATAAGTTAAAGAATTAAATGCTGGCAAGGTGGTTGTAATTTTAATAAGATGCTAGGTGAAAGAGTATAAAAAATAATATGCACTTTCTATTTGAAGAGAAACATTCGACAATATTGAAAAATTTTGACTCCACTACACAACATCAACAGA